CACTCAGTGACTTTTTACGGACTGTTTCCCCCAGAACAATATTTCCCCCATTTCTTCCCCTCACCCATATAAAACATTTTAAATACAAGGAATACATCGAGATTTATATTATCTCTTTATATTTGTTGTTGCTGTTGTTTACGTTTAATTATAAATTATAATAAAACACATAGCAATATTGACAAGTTGATAATAAAAATTAAATAATAACTAAAAATGAGCAAATACAAATAAAGTAAACTAATGTTTGTTGTTGTTACTTAAATATTACCATTTTAAATATTGTTGATACTTGCGCAGTTGATTTAATAAAGATTTAATAAAAGAGATGATATAAATCTTGATGTATTCCTTGTATTTAAATTCGTGTTTTATAAAGGGGGAATGTCCGGGGAGGAGCAATTTTTATTAAGGGGAAACAGTCCAGTGGAAAATGTCACGGGGAGGGGGAAAATGTCAGGGGGAATACCGGGGCAAGTGTCCGGGGTTGGGAGTCAACCAGCCTAGATCTGCCTAAGTGTGCTCATGATATGATGTCATCATAGCCACATTTTAACATGCCACATGTCTTTGTCAAACAAATTTATTAACCTGGACAGAGTTTAATATTTTATTTGAATGTGTTCATTACTCTTTGGATATGATTGGATGGAATGTTGTTTACACAATTTATTATTTATTATATTAAGAAATCTTCACAGTTAGACACAGTTGCAGTTCAATATCCCTTAAAAGAATTTATGAATGGTTTATCGATAGGATTAAATATACATTGCAGGCCCGTAACCAGCTTTCGTAATGGGGGGTATCTTTTTCAATCTGACTGGAACTATTGGGGTCTAAATATCACTTAGACATAAGTATTGAAGGCAATTTAAGTGCAATAATACTTTGAGTTACAATGAGCATAACCAAATTATAAACCATTTATGCACAATAACAGCCTTTATAAGAAAGTATAATACATACGGTACTCCAAGTATTGAAATACACGCCATCGTGTTGGGATTCAATATTTCGACATTAATTATGTCATCATCACCTGATGATGACATAATTAATGTCGAAATATTGAATATTTCGACATTAATTAATATTGAATATTTCGACATTAATTATGTCATCATCACCTGATGATGACATAATTAATGTCGAAATATTGAATCCCAACACGATGGCGTGTATTTCAATACTTGGAGTATGTATTATACTTTCTTATCTGAGATTAATCAGTGGACCTTTCGGTTTTAACAGCCTTTATTATTTATAAAACATGGCTATTAGCTGACACAACACATGAGGAAACCAAACCGATATACAGTAGCACCCCTATTAAGGGACACCTTCGTGACCCCAAAAAAGTGTCCACTTAATAGGGGTGTCCCCTGTACCACTATTCAAGAGACAATGACCAAAAATGTTTAACATGGTTTTTTTAAACCATATTTATAGAGGGTGACCCTTCCAGCGTGTCCCACAAGGTCGGCTGATACTTTTATCAGCGAAGTCTCTTGAGTTTTTTTTTTTTTTTTTTGACGTGAAAAATTCCTGTCGTGACAAGAATTGAACCAAGGACTTTGGGATCAAAGGCAAGCACCTTAACCACTGAGCTATTCAACTGAACTCTTGATTGTATTTATACCACTCCCTATTAGATCTGATTATAGTTTATAGTTGAGAAAGACATAAATCGCACTTATAAAGTTGTTCGTCTAGTAGAGCGGAACTTCCTATTCTGTGGTGGGTGGGGTCGTCCGATCCCCACCCCCTGGTTACGGGCCTGCATTGGGCGTATTCATGTATCAAAGTCCAAGTAAATAAAGCATATAGTTCCTGAGCTTGTGATTTTTATTATCATCCTGATCGGTAGGAACATAGAGGAATAAGTTAAGTGTCAATTTATTACCTCCATGGCATGACCCTCAAATTAGTAGCGAATCGCAGATTCAATTCCCTCCCATCAAAGTAAAATTTATCAAAACGACATTTTCATGTGGGTTCATTTTGAGCTCTCTTAATGTAAAAAAGTGCATTAAAAAAAACAGTGCCTACATTGATCACTCCAATTTCACTTTCTAATGAAAATTCGCTCTCAAATGAATGAATATTATTCTTTAAAAAAAATGAAAAATTACTAAAATTCACTCTGAATACAGTGAAATCTCAGTTGTTTTTCCACTCTATCTATTTCACTCTGTTGGATGCACACTTTCACTCTTTTGTATTTGAGAGACGAGTCTCACAAGACGAGTGTTTAAGCATACGCAAAACAGGTTTTTTTTTTTTTTTTTTTTTTTTTTTTTTTTTTTTTGAACAACACGTATGCTTCTCGAAAGAACATTTTTTAATTAGAAAAATTGAAGTGGTTTGGCGCAGTTTGGTTTCCCAACCTCGAGGTCGGGATTTCAATCCCCTCGCTGTGCATTTCACTTGTGTTCTTGGGCAAGGCACTTTATCTGCATTGCTTTTCTCCACCCAGGAGTATAAATGGGTACCTGGTAGGGTTAAATACCAAAATACGCTGATGTAGCTGCTGCAACTTTATGGAACAGTTTGTGTTCCATAGGCGTCTAATCCAATGACCGGGGGTAGTAATGTGAAGCGCTTAGGAGACTTGTTGGCATTAAGCGCTATATAAATATAACATATTATTATTTATTATTATTAATTTCCACTACTGAAACCATGGATTTTAGCCATCAATTGTGTTTATATATTTCGCTTATTTGACTTCCTATAATAGTCACGATTCGTAAAACAAAGATAGCAGTACAGTAATTATATTGTCTGATAACCATTACAATAACTTTACGTATTAAAAAAAAAAACAAACGTTTACTCAAATACTCAAATGGCCAAAATAATATAACTGCTTGTTATGACAACCAGGGACATCTTTGTGTTTAATTAAAGATAGTTAACAATGATTAGGATACAATCAATTTAATGTTTTATTCTCTCGTTTAATATATCATGTTAGAAAACGTCCTTATTCAATATACCAATACAATGTGAATGAGCTTATTATTGTTTTTTCTCTATTTTTTGCGTTTTAGATGGCATCAGAGATCACATTGTTTGAAGATGCGAATGAAGAATTTTTAACATGCTCCATCTGTAAGGACATTTTCAAACATCCGAAACAGCTGAAATGCATGCATAACTTCTGCCAAGATTGCTTACAACCTTTGATGAATGAAGCAACTTCACGCAAAATTAAGTGCCCCCTCTGCCGTGAAGAAGTTGAGCTGACTGTAGACACCGTTGCTGATCTAGAAGATAATATTTTCCTCAGTCATTTGTGTGAGTTATTTCTAGTTGCTAATCTCAATACCGTGGACGTCCTCTGCTCATTTTGTTCAGAAGCATTAAACGAAGAAAATGCTTCACGTTGCATCGATTGTTCTGATAACCTCTGCGATAAATGTGCAAAGACACACACCCTGACCTGCTTGACAAGAAATCACCAAGTCATTTTGATGTCAGAGCTTAAGACAGAAACCCTGGTGAGAAAATCAAGAGAAGGAAACGTCAAGATACCATGCCAGAAACACTCAAATAACCATTTGGAGTACTTCTGCCAAACATGTCAAGTACCTGTATGCCTCGGATGTACTGTTGTAGACCACGTACGTCAAAATGGTCACGACCTCATAAACCTAAATGATGGTCCAACAAAAGAAAAATTCAAGGAGCAGATAACCGAGCAACTTAACAAGCTGGAAGAAATCATACCATCTTTTGAAAAGCATATTGATATTGCAAATGAAACGGAGAAATGTCTTATCAAAAGTCTTGAAAAAACCAAAAATGATATACGGGATACTGCTAAGAGTCTTATTGATGAAATCGAAGCTCATACTAAGTCTTTGATTGAGAAGGTCGATAAGAAAGCTGAAGCTATTCAGAAGTCACTTGAACATCACAGAGAAGCTGCTGAAATCCGGGTCAAGAGTTCTACCAAGATCAACCAGTTTGCTAGAAACCTGTGTAAGCATGGCCTAAATTCTGAAATAATGTCATCGGCTAAAGATCTGCTGAGAAGAATGAAAGAATTGCAAGAGGGTAATATGAAAGATCTAGAAGGAACGGGTGAATTATGTTTCGTCAGACAAGATGAATTTAAGTTTGGAGTAGTGAAAGAGTGCAAGATAATAGTTAGTATACAATTTCTTTACATTACTGATTAATTGTGATGTATTTCTTATTATAATTATTATGATTAATATTGTTATTATTATTAATATGTTACTAAAACCTACCTTAAGGGGAACTTACACAATGGAGAAATTAGAGAACAATATTAACAAAACGATGTTAAGGGGGAAATAAAATTACATTAATGGGAAAATAACACAAAATATATTTCACTTAAGTCCGATTTAGTGCTAGTTATTATTATTATTATTATTATTATTATTATTATTATTATTATTATTATTATTATTATTATTATTATTGTTGTTGTTGTTGTTATTATTTGTTTTTGTTTTTGACATTGCCTCTGCCGTCGTAGCCATCGTTGCTGTTGTTATCGTTAATATTTTTTACTATATAATATTAATATTATTATTATTATTACTGTCAATATTCTAACTGTTACTGAAAATATATTATTATGATTATTATTATTATTATTTTTATTATTATTATTATTACTGTATTATTATTATTATTATTATTATTATTATTATTATCATTAATTAGGCTTACTGTATTGTTATTGTTAATATTATAGTTTTTTTATTAGAGTAACTTTAAAATATAATAACTGCTGTTATTTTCAGGAACGGGATGAGTACAACTTATTGGAATATTACACTGAAAAAGCGATGGCGGTTGGTAACATTGTTAAAAGAGGCCCAAATTGGCCAACAGGATATGACAATTACGACAATAATGGATATAATGGTCAAAACACAATCCAGTCAATTCAACGAAACGGGCCGAATGATATTAGAGCTACAGTTTATTTTCAGTCAGGCTTTAATATGGAGTGCAAAATGAATCCTGGAGATTACTGGTTACAGCCAAGTAATACATTTGCCAATTATCAGGTAAATACCGTAATTCGTGTTTTTAGAGTAACCAGTCTGCCTATCTGTAAGTGATAATCTAGAATGCCGACAAACATTACAGTTGTTTTGAAATTGTTAAATTTATTCATTGAATCCCAACATTAAAAGTCATATTTGATACTAATGCCAACATTGTGGTAAAAGTTATGTATGTAAACGGTGTTCTGCTATTGTAGTATAGTCAATTTTTCTTCAGCGAAAATCCTAAGCTCCTGAATGCTATTAGCCATAGGTCTTGTAGCCTATTAATCTAAAAGATATACTGGTAGAGGCTTAATTCTTGGAACGTTAGCCCTACCACTTCATTAACAAAATTAATTAAGTAAATGGGTTTTGAAACTTTTTCATAAAAACATCTTTTATTACCACCGTTCAGATTATTTAATACAATTTCTAAACAATGAGTCAGAGTTGATACACCTATTTTTTGTTCTATAATTATTTAAAAATTAGCATAGTTTTGTTTATATGATTATTTGAAAAATAAGCATTTTTTTTTATAGCGTCGATTGAAATGTTATGCTGAACATTTTATGAAAGTTGGAGATGAAGTGAAAAGAGGCTTAAACTGGCCTCTAGGTTCAAATGACTCGTACGATGAAAGAGGACAGAAGTCAGGAAAAATTACTCAAGTCAACCAAACACAGACTGGCACTACAGTTACCGTAGATTTTGGAGCACCAGACAACCAAACCTTTGAATGCCCAATGTACAATGGATGCTATTACTTGTTGCCCCTTCAAAATTCATTTCCTCTTATTGATTGGGTTGAGTTCTAAGTGTAACATATTTTAATTACAGCATATGTATATTTGAACAGAGCAAACTTTAAAAAATATAATTTTAGTGCATCTGTCGATACTGAAAACTAAATAGACAGAACAATCTCAGTCATAGTGAGTGTTCTTCAAAATGTTTTTTTCAAATTCGAAGAGGACAAAAGTCTGGAAAAATCACGCAAATCAACCAAACACAGAGTGGTACTATTGTTACCCTAGATTTTGGACCGCCAGGCAACCAACCCGTCAATTTCCAATGAATACCGGAAACTACCACTTGTTTCCCCTTCATTCGTACCCTTTAATTCATTGGGTTGAGTTTTAAATGTCACAAAGTATTAAATTGTTGAAAATATCTTTTTCTGCGCTGTTTATAGTTAACACTAAATTAATACATGGAGCAATCTGAGTCATAGTGATTATTTTTCGAAATTATACTCTTCAAATTCCAGACGAATTAAATATGAGGAACAGTACAATTGCTACTAACTTGACCATCGTATTACTTAAAATCTGCTACTGCTACAGTGTTTAAAAGCCCCGTTCCCGGCAAAATTTCAGTTGTTAAGAAAAATCTAATTTTTGTATAATGTTATAAAGATTTCTAAATATAATACGGAATTGCTAGTTTAACTGAATTTAGACATTCCTAAGAATGAAAAAAATGTAAAAAAAGACTGAAATTTGATTTTTTTGTGTTCCACACAAAAAATAAATGCGGATAAATTT